TCTGTTACTTTCATTCTGAGATTTTGCTTTTGGAAACTTTAATTCCTCTTTTTCTGGATGTAAATCACATTTTTTGGATGATTGTTTCCTCTGGTATCAGACGCTGTGCAGCTGGAAGGATTTTTACTGAAACTTTTTTTGTTTTGGACATTTGTTATGATGCGTAACCATGACAACAAGGCAGTTTTCTACAACCAACAGCAACTAATTAACATCTCAAAAGCTCAAATAATATCTCAACTACAGCCCCAAATTTCAAATGAGTTGAAAAGGATGTTCTGTGGACGCATTCTCATCTACCTGCCAGCTGTGCTTGAGTGCCTGACCACTGAGATCCTGGAACTAGCAGGAAACACGGCTCATGACAGTGGAAGGACAGGATCGTCCCTCGACACCTACAGCTGGCTGTTTGTAGCGACGAGGAGCTCGGCAGACTGCTGGGAGGAGTGGCCATCGCTCTGGGAGGAGTTCTGCCCGACATGCGGGTGGTCCTACAGCCCGGGGAACTGAGAGGCCAGCCGAGTCTGGGTGGATGGATCAGACGGCATCTACAGCCAGTTTCTTAGGATCCACTGTGGGATGGACCTTTACAAGAGATCCTTCCTGCCTACAGCCATCAGCATCTATAACATCTCTTAATGAAATGAAGATAACGAGTTACAACAACAAATAATTTCCCTTTCCCCTTTGGGATTAATAAAGAATTTTTGAATTTGAATATATACCTGTTTCCAAAGAGGAAAACAAAATGAGCTCTTGTCAACAGAGGAAGGGCGGGTTGTTTTTCCAACATCAGTCCTGGCTGATCCACTTGTTTTCCCACGAGATGGAGTGATGTGGAGGGTCACAGAGATGTACGCTCCTCCACAAACGTGTTCTGTAAAATTTATTTTGTTACTCTATTCACAAGTTTAGCACCAAGATCAGTGTCATATTTTAACCCAGAGGGACAATTTGACCCATTTAAATCAATGCAGTGGCCACACAATAAACTGAAACATGGGCACAATATGATACTTACCTTTGTCCAACCTAATATTAGATTAGAGTCAATGTTATTGTCATTGTGCAGAGTACAGGAACAGAACCAGTGAAATGCAGTTAGCGTTTAACCAGTAGTGCAAAATACAGTTTTACTACCAATTATTTACAGATAAACGGCATTGAATAAGTATGGAGAATAATGCTTTCAAATGTTAACATTCTATACAAGAGAGGCCAGTTACAGAATAAATGTTACAATGAAAATATGTATATATGTGTTTATTAATGTACCAGTATGTATGCACCTAGTATATATATACTCATTGGGATTTAATGGGGCTCAATGGGATTTGCCTGTCTAAATAAAGGTTGAATGAAAATATATAGATGTCAAATATGCAGGTGTTTTATGACAGCAACAAATAATATAATATATACATTGCAAGTATGAATAGTGTAGTAAAAGATACAGATATGATGAATATTGCAACATTAAGAACAAAGTACCAGCTTAATTAATATATTATTAACTTAATAATATTGAAAATGTATGGAGCGCTTAGTGAGCAGGAAACTTGTGTCTTTTACAGCTGTGCATATGGACCCCATGCAGTTTGGCTACAGGACTAACCGAGGGGTGGAGGATGCCTCTCTCTCCCTCCTCAACAAAGTCCATAATCACTTAGACAACCCGAAGACGTATGTTCGCATATTATTCACAAACTTTTCATCAGCTTTTAATACTGTTCAGCCTCATATACTTTTAAAGAGCCTATGTGATCTTAATGTCAGCAGCCATGGTGTGTTGTGGATTAACAACATTTTAAGAGGAAGACCCCAGCGAGTTTGTGTTGATAATATCTGACTGTAGGGTCCTGAACACTGGTGTTCCACAGGGTTGCGTGCTATCACCTCTTTTATTCTCTATATACACAAATGGATTGCAACATAACAGTAAAGATTTCACACTACTGTATTTAAGTATGCTGATAATATGGTCCTAACTGCAGGTCTGAAAGACACCAATAGTTCCTCCTACTCCCAGCTCATAGATCAGCTCTCTGCCTGGTCTGATGACAGTTTTCTGGCCCTTAATGTCAGTCAAACCAAGGAACTTTGTTTGGGAGGTAAATGGGAAGCAGCCAGCACCAGACCTACATTTAGGCTTTCTATTATAAAAGAGCAGGAAG